GCCCCTGTGCACTGTGTCATCTCCAGTGTTTACATCTCCTATTAGACAGTAGGTTCCTTGTTGGTAGGGACCTTGTCTCGTTCATCTTTGTATCCACAGTGCCTGACAGGCACTGAGCCAATCTCCTCAGCAGCACTTCCCTTGTGTCTGACTCCTCCTCCTAGTGTCCTTCTTGGCTGCTCCCCTTTGCCCAGCTGTAAGTAGTGGTGTTGTTTAGACTATTGTTCGCACATTTCTCTTCTCCAAAATCTCATGCACCAAGTTCATGTCTGTAACTCTAAGACTGCATGTTGTTGATACTCTAACATCTCTCCTAAGCCACACGCCAGATTTTCCAAACCACAGTGTTGAAAACACTGAGCTAGGGACTGAAGAATGACCCACGGTTAAGAGCAGAGGACCTGAGCCTGGTTGCCAGCACCCATGTCAGAGGGCTCCCAAGTGCCTGTATCTATAGTTACAGGGGAATCTGACTCCTCTGGCTTCCCTGGGTAACTATGTGCGTATCCACATCTTTCTTTCTCTTACATGTATAAATAAAACAGATCTTAAAAAAAAAACTTTAAAAGCCTAAGATATTCTTTCTCTCTAATTGGTTCTTTCTCCTCTATTCATTAATTTAATAAGTGACACCACCTTTTGTACCAGTGGGAAGCCAGACCCCAGCGGTGAATTCTCATCTTCTCTGATATGTATGGCCATCAATAATGAAAATGTTACCTTCTCTTCTCTAGTCCTACCATTCCATCCAGCTTGTCACATGTGGGTGACAAGGAGCAGTGAAGTCTTCAACTGGTCACCTCAACTCCAGGTTATTCAGTATCCATCAACCTTTCTCATTACCATTACAGTAAACTCTATAAATGCAAATCCAATCTCTTCCACGGCTCCCTAAACCAACATCACAAAGGCTAGACTTTTGGTTTTGAAGGAGTGTGTAAGACCCTTAGCTATATCTAAGCATTGAAACAGTCCCTCTCGGAGAGGGGAAGGAGGTTCACCAGGCCCATGAAAACCTCACAAGAAATTTACAAGAGTCAGGGAGCTCAGAAAGTTCCAAGACACTTAGATCTTTCCCCAATGTCATATGGACCAAACAATTTCCAGGGGAGAGCAGACTCTTCTACGGTGTAGCTGCCTGTAAGTCACACAGGGGACTCTAGTAATGAAGTATTCGGGAGCTGTCATGCATGCTAGGTGTCAGTTTTATTGATGCAGCTGCCCAGGTCACCTATAAGTAGCTGGCCCCTGTAAATAGCCCCTCACCCATGCTCCTCTAAGTCATCCTAGTAAAACTCATTGGTTCACTGAGCTGGGCTTGGGGGAACTTGTCCCTTGGTCTGTGCAGAATGGACAGAAATAGACTCCCCAGGAGAAGTAATGATAGATCTTGAAGAATGGGCCCCTTCTCTCTGAAGAATCCACCTCTCATGGCATCCTGGGTTTTCTGTTTCCCCTCAGAGATGGACTTCTCTGCAAACAGCTGTCCTCTCAGACCACCTCATGTCTATCCTGTCCCCTCAGCCTGGAATGTCTCTTCTTTCTTCTGCTCACTCAGTTCCTATTCACCCTTCGAGATTCATCTCGACAACCACAGCCTTCCTTGGGCGGCTGGTGATTCGGCTGTGTTCCTTTCGATGGAGCCTTCACTTGGCTCTTGTAAACGTTAACAGATCCCTTATGGTCTCTTCAGTCAGACGCAAGCCAGATGCAAGGGTTTCAGTGGCAATTCAATTCGTGACAAGTTGAAACCTGCTTCCCGTTTCTCTGTCGCTGAGCACCTAAACGCATCAACACCATTGTCCACAGTCTCACATTTCTACCTTAACCAAGCCATACTGTGTCCTCTACAACTACTTCACTGGAGCTCTGACATGGTCATTCACATCCTTCCGTGCAAAGCTTGGGCTCCTGGTCTGCTACAGCACGGAGTATCTTCCTGGCAGGACCCTCTTCCGGCTGCTTTCTTGGCTTGGAAAGACCACCCTTTGTGAAGACTCATAGCCTTCCACAAAAGCTTTCCTGATTCTGCTGGGCCTCCGTGGCTCCCTGGACAGACTCCTCGCGTATCACTACAGCCATGGGCTAGCCTAGGAAGCCACTGAGGGAGAGACTGTATCCTTCTCTCACACTTGTTGAATACCCGACAGAGCAGTTAGATTCATCAGGGCTGTGACTGTCCCAGAAACACATGGGAGGCCACAGATCCCTGGCCCTGGTGAAGTAAATTAATATACCTTAACCACATGACATAGTCACTCATCATTGGCTGGGAGACAGCCTCCTAGAATCCCTCGAAGGAAGGACCCTGTGGAGTCTACTCTTCACAGTAGGGGACTGCTGGGGGGAACCTGGAATGGCCAGCTTACCTTGTGGCCTGGAAGCTCCTTCGGACAGGTGGGCTGGACTTGTTCGGAGCTTTCTTTCCCACAGCACTGAAACTAGAGAGAGAGAAGAGGCTTTAGGACACGGGCTGGATAGGGGACAGGAGTGCTGGCTCCAGGAGGAGGCAGAGTAGCTCTACGGCCCCCACTGCTATTTCTGGAGAGCGAGGGAAGAAGTACAGAATTGTGCTAGCAACCCAGGAACACAACTTCTCCAAAGCGATATAGGTTTTATGATAGGAAGCGAGGAGGCAGTGTCAGGCGAGGAGTTAATTGATGGTGTTCTCCTTAGAGTGCTACTTTGGAGTCAGGGACGGGGTCTCACAGGCCATCCTTCAGAACTGAAGTCTGAAAAACTTGCCGAGGAGCAAAACTTGATGAGCTCTGGGGAGAGCTCATTACTCAGGGACCAGGGGAAGAGAGGAGAGGTGGCCACAGGAAAGCCCAGGGCCAGAAGAGCAGGCATGAGTGCTGGTTAGCAAACAGGCAGCCTGCCTCAGGGTTGGTTGTTTAAGACAAAGGAATCTGTGTGCTGCTTGATGTCTCTGGAGAGCCTTCAAAACACTCTTGCCACGTAGAGCCAGGTGCCTGAAAACACTTGCCCAGAAGTTCACAGTTACCTCTCCAGAATGCAGTGCTTAAGAAGACAGAATGACCCTGGTCTGGTCCACTTTCCCCATAAACGTTTCTTGACTCTATTTAGCTCTAAGCACTGCACTCTAGCATGTTCCCATGGAACATTCTAGAAGGGAATATAGCTGTCTCCCCACAAACTTTGTTTTATAAATAAGGAGCGAGTTAAGCAGACATCAGAGATGCTAACTAACTCATGCAGCACCACAGGGCGGCAGCTGAGCTTTCCTGGCTTGAAGGCCACCATACTTGCTTCTGTCATACCACAGTATCACACGGAGAGGAACCAACACACATCTGGGTGACTTTCTCAGTGTCCTGCGACACCCTGACTTCTTGTGAGTCTGTGGTCGACATCATTCTAGCCAAAGGTCTCCCAAAAACACAAACTATAGCTCTCATCAGAGCTAAAATAAGAGGCGGTTGCTTCCACTCACTGGATTTATTTTTATTTTTAATTTAGGCTCTTAGAGAAAGCCCGGCACATGTGCGATCTGTAGAACATGTGATTTCAAGGGAGAAGTGGAGATACTCACTGCTGAGTGGAAGGTGATAAGGGTGCCATTGCCCCTTCCCCGGCCTTTAAGGTAATCGCTGTACGCCTCCTCATACATAGTCTGTACGTGTCGTACAGCCTGAAAAGACACCAGCACACAGTGAACGGAAGGGCGCAGATGGTTTCTTTTTACCGAGAAGAATTCCCCTTTTCTACGTCCTCTGGGAACACTGCTTTCCCACACATTCTTCTGAAGGCGAAGGATACGCTGACCAAGAAGGCCTTCCAAGGTCAGAGCCATCTCTTCGAGGGGGGATTTCTAAACCTGACGGGCTTCACTGTCGGTTGGGCACTATCCTGGCGGGCCACTAGAGGTGGAATCCGTGGAAGCGTGGCTCCCTGCCAGCTGAAAGGCAGGTGCCCACTGCCAAGGAAGATGGTCTGTATCCAAACAGCCATAGGTTTCGACTCTATATGGAGATAAATTAAAGTCCGTAACCTCTGGATACCAGCCGCCATGTTAGGAGAGTTTCAGAGGAGTGACAGGCACTCATTTCCATGTTTATCATTTTTAAGCTTACGCTCAAAAGCATAGTACGGATGGCACGCGAGTGCATTGGAAACGCAACCCTCTTAAGGCTCTGTTCTGCCTGCCTTCCTTTCCGCTCTTCTCTGTCACAGACTGCTTATCCTTCTAAAGGTCATGTGCCGATGGGCTCCCCTCATATCCTGTCCTGGGCACTAAGGATTGCACGTATACACAGCAGGTCAGGTGTTGGCGTCTCACAACAGGTGGCTCCTGTCTAGGTCAAGCCTTTGGGACAGGTGACAGAGGGACGAGAAAGTAGATTCCTTCTCCTTGCCCCATTCTTGCCTGCCTTATTTTGAACTAGGGACAGTCTTAAACTAGAAATCCAGTTCACAAACAAACAGACAAAACCCCAAATCAAGCAAACATAGACCAGTTTCAAACCATGTATACACATGTGGAGCCCTGTACACCACTAGGCTAAAAGGTTCTGCTTACACGATTTTGTAGGCTATTTTGTTTCTTAATACACCTTGGGGTGAGTAGTCTATATTGTTTACCACAAGAAGAACGCTTTAACAACCGCCCAGACATCTAGGTTTTACTTACGACGTCCTTGCCTATAAAAGCAAACACCCCAGTGGTTACTTCGGCAGCAAATATCACCAGCAGACAGGTGAAAAACTGTTGAGAGAAAACACTGATTTCACTCATTTAATACCTTTCCAACTTACTTAGCCTGCTTGCATCTCCTTCTGCCGTCAAGGCATTGGGTAAGGCTGTGAGTTTGGTGGTAGGGACGCTTCTAGGCACTTTGTCTCCTCCGTGCAGCTGGCGAGGCCCTTTTGTATGGCTTGTTTGTTATTCTACTCAACAACTGGCCACTCAGCACATGTTCTGTGCCAGGCACTGTCCTTTGTGCCCGTTATCCAGTGGCAGAAGAGATCCTAACCCCTCTGATGTCATAAAGCTTATATTGGGCAGAAGAGATACAGTCAATGAGGAAAGGTTTTATATGCATTAGAAAATGCATGAAGGAATATTAGACAGCCACATAGAAACCCTGTCACCAAGCACAGGACCTGGCAGTGACACACTCTGTAAATACTTGATGACTGAGTAAGTTCTACGGAGAGGCAATCTGGTTGGACACAGAAAGTTTCCACTGAGGCTTGGTCTTGGGGCAGAGTGTGATGATCTGGAAGGGCTTCTCTGAGGAGAGGGAGAGAGACTGTGCAGGGTCTGTGTGTGTGGGGTGTGTTTGGGGGGTTTGGGTGTGTGTGTGTGGGGGTTGTGTGTGGGTATGTAGAGGGGGTTTGTGTATGGGGGTCTCCTTATGGACAGCGTTCTGCCATGTCTTAAGTTTGCTGATTAAACTCAGCTCTGTGATGAACACAGCAGAGCTTTTCCAGCTTTATTTGTAGAAACAAAGACTGGCAGGGAGGAGAAACAGACATTTCACATAACCACAGATCTGAAGCAGCAGGCAGACATGGAAAACCCAAAGACCGAACTGGGAATGGGAAATGAGGGGGCCTCAGAACACCCTGCTTCAGGCTCCCTGAGAGAAATATATAGCCTTCCCTCTGTTCCTCGCTTCTTTAGGCTTCAGCGTATGGGCTGATAGCAGGTAACGAGGTAACAGGGAACGAAAACTAATTTTGTTGTTGTTGTTTAACAGAATCTGCTAGTTAAAAATAAGGTAACAGAGGGATGTTTTGTTAAGTTGTTGATCTTAACCAGAAATGCTTTCCTTGTAGATAACAGGTTTGTTTTTTTTTTCCTGGCTATGGGAATCTTTAAGCTGCCACATACACAGTGAAATATTATTTTTAAAGAACAATCAATTCATAAGCACTCTTCAAATCTTTACACTGATGAGCTCATTGTTTTCACATTTTCCATGAGACAGGAACAAAGATAATACCATTCCCATGCATGAGAGGGGGGTGTGGGGGGGTGGGAGGGTGGGGGAGGTGGGAGAGTGGGGGGGTGTGGGGGGGAAACAGACACCAGAGGGAGGATCCAGTGCCAAAGCTTTAAGTCCTAGAGGAACCAGAGCTTCAAATCAGGTCCCCCGACTCTCTCCAGGGAAGTTTACCGACCCACCCCGTGTCCACCTCATAAACCCCACTTACTGATCCAAGCACACACTGTGACTCACGCATGGCTCCACAGCACCCGAAGAACCCCACAGCCATCATCAGGGCCCCGGCTCCAACCAACACGTAGAGCCCTGTGGATGAGAAGCCAAGGGGACGGGTCAGAGCCTGAGGAAGGTGAGGTCAGTCGAGCACAGTGCAGGAGACTACAGCCCTGCTTCCCACACCAGCCAGGCTCTGGCTTTTCTCTCCGCACAGCGCTCTGCCATCAACTGTAATGGTGCCACTTACTAACTGCATCTCATGCATACCGGCTCGCTCAGCAAAGCCATCCTATCTTACCGCCAGCCGCCAGCCGAGCAAACACACCGGGAAACTGAATCTGAAGGAAGCCAGGGAGGGGAAGAAGCCACCTCCACCACTGCTTCGAGCTGTGTCAGTGAATGGCCACCACATGCCTAGGGCCCAAACGTGTCTTCTCAGGTGCTGCACCTTCGTTCAGAGATGCACGGCCATCCCGACAGGGCCAATGATGCTGAGTCCGGGAGTAATTTGCAAAGCTGCCGCCACAGCTGGGACACAAACCGAAGCTCTCTCTTGGATCCCAGAAGCCCTTCTTCTCTGAGCTTAGTGGCTGTCTCCGTCTCTGAGAGACTTGAGGCCAAGGATTTGGGAGGGAACAGCAGCTGCCAAGTAACAGGGGAAGAGAAGGAATGGAGCAGGGATCTGGGTAGGGACAGAAGCATAGGACAGAGTCCTGACTCATCAGTTTTGTATGATTTTCCCCCCTCCTTCAGAGGTCAACGTCGCAGATACTGGATACATGGGAGGCCATGTTACAAGACAAAACACAACAAAATTAACAGCTAATGAGGGCAGGTAATAAGGTAACGGATGCCTTCATTATTATTATTAGCATTATTAGCACCATGTTCTAAATTAGAGCCAATTGTCACCTGATAATTTTAATAGAACCGCTATGTGTGTGACAGACCCTTCCAGACAGGCTCTGTCAGGTGCACCTAGGTTTATCAGAGCAGCTTTCCTGACGGCCGTGAAGTACTGAGTGGTCCTTTTACCTCTGTGGTTAGACAGAGGAGCTGAGCCTCAGAGGGCCAAGTGAGTGTCCCAAGGTCACAAGGTGCGGCTCTCCCCAAGAGGCCATGCCTCCCTAGCAACATCAGCGGCCTTACCCTGAGTGGTCAGAAATTGCACCTCCTAAGTCAAGCCCCAGGAGGGTTCCCACCCAGAGCGAAGTCAAAGGCAAGGTGCTGGTTCTGGGAGACTTTGGGCCAGGCCTTCCTGACTTCCTTCTTTGATCCCGAGATAACAGAGAACACAATGCTAGGGCTGGCACTTGACTTGCTCTGAGTAAGGCTAATTGACTGTGGTTTTTTTTTTTTTTTCTTTTGCTTTTCTGTCAGATGAGTCACCTGGAAACCATTCTTATTCATCCGGAGGTGGAGGGGGGGCACTGGGGTCCCACCCCTGTGGGGAACCCCTGAGTCTGGCATGTAGGCATTTCCTGGGGCTCCTCTGGGTTTGCTCATTGACGGTTTGTGGGCAGGCCTGTCTGTTAACAGACCTAGATGGGGTGACAGGGTAGCTGTTCTGCTTCCTGAACCACCCAGATCGAGACTAAGAGGTCCTCAAGGTACTTCTGGGTTCCTGAGGAGAGAAGGCTTGGCGTTGCAGTCTGGAGGGACCCACACGCTTCCTGCTGTTCCAGCGCTATCACTTCCTCCAGTTTCCTTCCCTCTAAGAGGATCATTTCACGGGTGTGTATGTGGGTGGGGGGTGGGTTACAGGAGACCTGATCCCCTTTTAAAAACAACAGTATTGTTGGCTCCACCTTATCATCTTGAGAGCTCTGCATTTCAAAGCTCCTTCATTGCCCTCCTATCCTAGGTCGCTTGCTCCAAGCAGCCCTGTGAGGTAAGAGAACACCCCTGCCTTCAGGAGAGGTCAGAGGCAGGGGCCTGACTCCCACTTTACACTCCTCACGGAAACAGGCTGAACAATCCTACCCGTCCTTCCCATAATGTCTCCAGGGAGAGCCATCTTAACATACCGATTTCTGGCTTAGAATGCCACTGCCTTCCGTCACTGCTCCTCCAACGGCTGTTTCTTCCAGCGTGAAGCTAAGGCTAGGGTCCAGCTCCCTAAATCCTCATCTACCCTACATTCCAGGCAGTTAGGAAGCATCACGGCGTGAAACCGCCCTGTTCTGGTGTGGGCAGGACCTTGGCAGGTTCCCATAATTCTCTGTAGACTTCAGGTCTAAAACTCTTCTTTTACTCTGCTTTCAAGAGCACACGTGAGAAACCTCGGTCGGTTTACATTTCTCCCATGGACAGAGTAAGATACACTCAAAGTTCCCCACTGGCTACCTCATCCCAGCAAACATCTCTACTGAGACACACATTCTGAGATCTTACTGCAACAAACACGTATGGGGATCATCAAAGGGCTGAGTTCTCCAGCGTCAGCCAAGTGAGATGGGGCCTCATATGCTGAGAAGGTCTGAAATGGAAAAGCCATGTCACTGAGGAAGCAGGTGCCCAGTGTATAGGGGCCCAGTGGGCACAGTTTACTTGGTCTCTCCGGCAACCGTCCTTGCCCTTCTGAAACAGTGAGTTAGCTTCCCAGGAGATGCACTCTCTCAAACAGTGTCTAGTGTCCCAGTGTGGACAGAGCAACCTCAGGAGCTTCTCCACAGCAAGCCTCTGTTTGCATGAAAAGATGCAACTGTCCTGTTTCCAGATGAACTTCTCTGTGGAGCTGGAGAGAATCACAGGGAACTTCCACATGCAACAGATTCCTGCCAAATCTGGCTGTCAGGCTGGCAACCTAAGGTCTCCTGTGGTTCCCAAGGACACCCTACCTAAGCTATGGTTTTAAAAGGAGCTGCTGAAGCATTAATTAGCTTACAGCAACATTCTACTTCCAAAATGGCTTCTGTAGAGTCCTTTCTCCCTAGCAGCACATGGGGACCTACTTAATAAATCTCTTATGTTTTCTAAGCTCTACTTTCCTTTGATTTGCAAAAAGAGAACCCTTTGAAATTGCATTTTGATCATTAATGGTTGGGCTTTGTGAACCAGTGAAATGCTACCGGGAAACAGCTCTCCTGGGGACGTCTTCCCTGATGATCCGCCCTTCCTCCTTGGAGTTCACACCCTTCTAGTATGTGCGTAGCATCATTTCAGTCAGCCAAGGATTAAGAGGGCCTGGTAAAGGCCCATTCGTACAAACTCACTTAAAAATCCCCGTTGAGAAAGGATATATTGGCATGCTCACCAAATCCAGTGATCTTGGCAGCAGATGATATAATACAACCTGCTAATCGTCATTTTTTTCATCTAGATTTTTTTTTTGTGTGTCTCTGCAGACATCTCCTTCCCGGCTTCCACTGAATACACATAATTACAGCCATCACTCAGTCTCCATGGCGATTAGTTCCAGGATCCCTCCCGTACCAACCAGTGCATGTACGAGCCCCTCATAAAATGGCATCGTATTTGCATATAACCCCACTTACATACCCCTGTATACTTTAAATCACCTCATGGTTACTTATAATGTTTAGTATACAAATGGCCTGTAGTTATCAGACTGTATTATTATTATTAAAAATAATTACAATGGCATGAAAATGTCTGTACATGTTCAGAAGAGATGAACTAAAAATAATCTTTGATCCGGGGTTGCTTGAATTTGTAGATGCCGAGCCAATGGATGGGAGCGCCCTAATTCTAAGGGTTGGCTGTATCTACGTGCTTAGAGTTATATGTGAGTCTAACTTCATGGGAAAGGAAAAGAAAGGAAAGGACTACTTGGCGCTTTCTCAATAGCGGCTGCAGCAGCTACAGTTAGGAGCTTTATCCGTCTCACTCCGCACCACTGGCCAGAGGACCTCTTCCTGTTGACCCCGCCCTTGCTGAGTGGCACATATACTCTACACTAGACACACATACCATCTCAAGAACCTGCTTGATGACAAAGCCTACGTTGTAAACTGGTCTGAAGCCCACCCCAACGGCTGCTCTATCTCTTCACGCTGTCTTCCCTCATCAGGTAGCCTTTGGTCCTCAGCCCCTGTAGTGTGCAAACAGCAAGCGCTAGCATGTGCTCACAAGTCACCCCTACTGAGGTCGGCACTGCACTCACACAAGTTCATCACTCACAGCTAAGGAAGCAGAAGTGCAGAAAGTGAAAGATGCGCAACTCTAAGGGGTTAACTGGAATCGAGCCAGAGTGTGTACCCCAAACCCCCATGCTACATTTTCAGTAGAGACTCAGAGCAGTGGATTTCTTAGCTAGAAATCTGCCCATGTATAAACAGTAGGGGAATTCTTGAGAATGGTTCCTGAGGTGTCTTCCTGGGTGTTGTCCCCCAAAAGAACAGGCTAGGGTCTAGAATTCTGGGCCACCAAACTGGTTGTAGGTAAGTCTTCTCCTTCGGAGTTTGTGCTCTTCAGGGCTGGGATGAGTATCTATTTTGGTGTCTTGTAGAATGGCCTTGGGAGAAGCTGCCCAGACATGGTAGTTAGTCTCTCTCTGTTATCCAGCTAGCATGGTGTCAGGTATGAAGTTAAAAAACATTACCAGAATGAGTCAGAGTGTTTATAAAGGCAAGCCAGCCCCTGGATGTTTAGCGGCAGAACACTTTCCTTCCACAGCCAAAGCCAGGCTCTGGGGCTCGGAATTCAGCAGGGAGAGACAGATGCAGCGAGGCTGTGACTCCCGTTTATGTGGGCACCCCCAGTGGAGAAACCTGCTCACATCCTCTGCTCACAGACATGAGCTCATGCGCTCCAGCCCAGGTTCCAGCTTCCTGAGGCACAGAGGACCACTCCCCACTCTGTGCTCCTAGAAGGAAGACCCTGAGGCATCTGCCCAGCCAGCACACTGGAGCAGACTGGCACAGGAAATCAGATGGGCAGGGTGTTGGATGGGGAGGATGCAGGGGCTTTTCCCAAGAGTTCCCTGGAAGAAACTAGAGTGGGGAAGGTCTAGGAAACCCCAAGTAACCTAAGCTCCTCGCTGCCAGCTCCACCCTTGCCAGCCTCTTCCTTCCTCACCTAAGCAACCAAGGGACACAGAGACCCTGGGTCAGCCTCCAGGCCTTGGCCTGGGCCCAGAGGGACACTAAAGGGTGGCAGCAGGCAGCACTTGGTCTGATTACTCTGTCTCCCTGGCCTCATTTCCCGCAACCATCTCTTCCTGCTTTGGCTAATGCCTGCTTCTCTGTCCAGCTTGAACATTTGGTTCAGAGTACTAGGATGGAGAGAAACTCCATTAGCATGGAGAAAGGCTAGGATGCTTGAAGTGAGACCATCCCTGTAGACATGAGCAATCCTACAAAGCCTGCCTGCCTTCTACCCACAAGCAGAGAGCTATGCACTGTGTCTCCTGGAGGTTTCTTCACTCTAGGCTGAGTGATTCCTCTTCCCCTTCCCTTCTCTGTGATCCTCCTCACCTTCCCAAGAAGTTGGGACTACAGGCAGGTACCACTGCACCTGGCTGTGGCTTTAAATCTTGAAGAACCAACCACTTAGACATGCTAAGCCTGTTTAGAACAGCGTTTAACAAAATGGGCAGTGAGTATAAGCTGATAACTCTGAAACATAGTCTAAAGAAAAATACATAGAGCCTTTAGGTATATTGGCCCAATCCTGTAATCCTGTAATCCCAGCACATCGGAGGTAGAGGCAGGAGGATCAGGAGTTCGAAGTCATTGTCAGCTAGAGAGTACATTCCAGGCCAGCCTGGTCTACACGAGATTCTGCCTCAAAGAGCCCCCCAAAGTCACACCATACAAACACCAGCTCCCCTCCCCTAGATCAGATGAATGAGGATGTGCCCCTCACCCAGCAGAAAGAAGGGTGGTCCTGTGGGGCTGGAGATGGACAAGTGACTGAGGAGCAGCTCCATCTGTGATGCTTCAGGTATGAGGTGTAAGTCAAGGTCCACAGATACAGCTTTGGGTTCAACCTACAAACATCTTGTAGTGATCTAGTAACTCCAAAACATTGAACACACGGAGGCAGGCAAAAGTGGGCTCTGTTTTATGTTGTCATTTAACCACTGTGACAAAAATCAGGGTTGGGTACTTACCAATCGTGAGCTTCCTGTACGGAGCAGGAGGGTGAGATGCTCTACTCAAACATCCCTGCCTTGTTTTCAGAACTAAGCCAAGAGGCACACACATGGCCTGAGACATGAGAGCTGTGTTTTCATGTCATATTTATGCAGCCGGGTATGTCCGGAATCTTTCTAGGATGACGAACTACGGAAAACCGCTCCAGTGGACTTTAATATAATAGAGATTTAGTGTGTCACATAACTAAAAGTCCAGGCTAGTGAACTCATCTCAGGGCCTCAAAGGATATGACCAGAACCCAGCCTATGGCCATCTGGCCTCAACTTTCTTTCTGTAGCATGTTTAGGCAGGTCTCCTCCCGCCATGATCAAATGGCTGCCAGACGCTCTAGGCTTCCAGTTCCAGTGGGACATGTTCTTCCACTTCCACAGAGCTCTTTCCACTCCTCAGCCTAACAAACACCTCTGCCGGTCCCCAACCCACGTATGTGGCCAGTTGCTGTTGGCCTAAGCACTCTCAAGCTAATTGGGTTGAGAATGAACGAGCTACCTGCAGAGCCAGAGGGGTAAACCACCCACCAGCAGCCGGACGCCTTCTTCCCATCCTTGGTGCTATGGGGCATGAGTACGGGTTTTGCCACCTGGCTCCTCGGTCACATCCTCCCTCGCTGTTAGCCCATGGCAAGCAAGAGTAAACGGGCACAGAGTCAGTGCTCAGAAGTTGGAGGAGGACTGGGCTTTTGTAGAAGCAGCACCAGGCACCACAAGGCAACAAAGGACCAAAAGTTACAGACACAGCCATTGGCATCCTCTTCTGGGCCATGGTTGGTTTCGGCATAAATATATGATGTGGTTCCGGCCAATAGGCTGCAAGAGGAGACTTCTGGGAGAGGACACATGAAATGAAACTCCCCTTTTCTCCTGCGGGTTCTGCTGTGTGAGGACACAGTGCTAGAGTCGCCACAGGAAGGCAGAGCAGGGCTAAACTACTAGAGAACCGAAGTCCCCAGTAAGAGCTCCAGCTTCGTCTGAGCGTCACCCTCTCATCTTCCTCTCTTGGCAGTTGGTGTAGCTGTGGTCCCTCTGTCTGTCCTCTCCAGGGACAGCTCCCTCCCATCCCTCCTATTTGGTCCTTCCCATCTCTTAGCAGTCCCTACTCGTGGAAGTTTTGAGATTAGTACCTATCTTAGGGTTTCTATTGCTGCGGAGAGACACCATGGCCACGGCAACTCTCATAAAGGAAAACTGTTAATTGGAGCTGGCTTATAGTTCTGAGGTTATTTAGGCCATGATTGTCACCGAGGGAAGCATGGCGGTGTGCAAGCAGACATGGTGCTGGAGAAGAAGTTCAGAGCTCTACATCTTGATCCACGGGCATCGTTCAGGAAGAGACAATGAGTCACCAGGCCTGGCTTGAGCTTCTGAGATCTCAAAGCCTGCATCCAGTGACATACCAAGGCCACACCTTCCAATGGGAGCCTATGGGGGCCATTTTCTTTCAAACCACCGCAGCACCCCAAACTCTGGGGCATCTCTTCATTTTGAGTTGCTTGCATGTTAAAATCCCACATCACAAAGTAAGATGCTGACTCCTCAGGGTCCCCTGGACACCCTAAACAGACCAGTGGGCTTCTCCAGAGACAAAGAACGCTTCCTAACTCCTTCCTAACTCCTTCTGAAGAAGTTACATTTTCTTGAGGCTTTGTTAAGTAAACAAATCAGTTTTACTGAGGTCTTCTTCTCTCCATGAGAGAGGAGGAAGAGGCCGCAGAGGCACATACATCCCCCAGGACCAGGTGAAGTGTGGCAGTAGAGAGGCTCGGGGCTCTGTCCCTCAGACCCGACCTTCAGGGACAATGAAGTCACTCACCTATATAGAAATACTCCGGGGACGTGTCCTCCGATGACAGTTCCTTTATGGCTCCTCCGAACCGGAACCATAGTCCAAAAGCAATGACCGCCGATCCGGCCAGCTGCAAGAGAAGCAACAGTGTGTTTATTGAGGAGGGGAGAGTGCACACGGAGGCTGGGGAGCAGGCCGTGGGCACAGGGTGCCCAGGCTTGGAGAAGCCTTGGAGGGGTTGCCCCTGTGGAGAGCATCATGCCCACTCTTCTTGTCTTACTAGGCTTAGAGGTGAAAGCATGGGCTCCATGCCCCCCTCCCGAGGGCCCTGAGGTAACTGACTGCCTCTGCCCTGTCTTGATTCCAGTCACAGGGTCTGCTGTGCCATCAGGCTTCCCTGGCACCCATGGGATGAAAGTGTGTGTCAAAACCACTGTTCCAACAACATTCTCCACGCCAGAAGCTGTCCCTTGCAACGTTGTTTCTTGTTGGGTATACTGGACTTCCTCACCAACACCTTAGTGAATGGCCACTGTCCCTGGGAGGGGTTACTGAGAACAAGATGAACTCTAAGACCTAGGGAGGCCACCTTCTAAATTAGAAAAAGCAAAAACACACAACCAAGGGGAAAAAAAAAACAACAACCAACCAAACTGACCAACACTGATACAGTGAGCCGACCTACGGTTCATGACGAAGTTTCCCGTTAGAACTCTGTTCAGAGACTCCTGTGACCCCCCCCCCCCCTTCTTGTTTCCCACATGGTGACCACTGCTCTGCCCCTGTCCAAGCATGGTTTTGCAAGCAAGCAGGGAAGGAGGGCCTTTTTTTTTTTTTGGTTGTTGTTGCTATTTTGAGTTTCCATGGAAAGCGAGAAAGGAAAAAAAATATTTTTCTGAAAAGGCAGGGTCTGTATGCCATGTGGCTCATGGAGAGGCTGAGTGGCTGGCACAGGCCTGGGCTGGGCAGGCTGGGCAGGCTGGCAGCTGGTAGAGTCATCACCAGGCTTCCTCTCCTGAGGCTGAAGGCTGTCGCAGGCTCCATGTCTAAGCTGGCAACCCTGTATGTCAATTGCAGTACTGTCCCAACCGCAGGCTGGCAGTTTGCAGCCATGGGTCTTTCTCTCCAAACACCACTCTTGAATATTGCTGTATCAATCAATTAGCAGTTATTTACAGGGAATCTTCTGAGTGCAAAGCACCATTGGGAAGTCAGCAGAGATGTAAAAATAGCATCCTGCCTCTCCAGCTCTTCCAGTTAATCCTGGGCCCTAGACTTTCACCAGACAGGGAGGGTCTGCTCCTATCTGAAAAGAGGAGAGCACCCAAAGATGCTGGCAGCAGAAGCCAAGAAGGGAATGGCAGGGCAGAGGCGTAATAAGGAAATCTCCAGCCAGGGTTAGGCCAGAGGCCTTTCTAGGCAGTCTCCTTCTCTCCTGAAGGGTTACTTGAGAGGGATCCGATGCCACCCTGGGAAGGTTACCACGATATATCTGTGAGGGCTTTCCTTCTCTTCACATCCTGTTCCCAAGGCCAAATCCCTGTGTGGCTGGCCTTCAGAACTATGCAGGCCTGCCTGTAGTGAGGGGGAGTGGGTGCCTGGGTTCTACCAGCTGGCTACTCCCATGTGGAATAACGAAGGCTTCCCAGCCCTTAGATAGAGCACTAATTGGATAATTCGGGGGGAAGTTAAAACAGCTGACCTCCACTGTCTTTTCCAGGTGTTTTAAAGAGGAGGCTGACATGGAAACACGAGCTGACGTCATGCTAAGGCACAGTATTATTTATCTTTGAAGGGTGGAATTCCAGGTAACGGTTCCCTTCTGTCTCCTAAGGGCTCTACATTAATTATGCCTTAGTCTTTGAGTCTTAAACACATAGATTTTGAGAAGCAGTGCATACTAGCTGTCATGCCCATTATGGGGAATGGAAAGTCTTCTTGGTCTGTGCTTAACTCAGGAAGGTGCCAGCTTTGGGGTCCTGGCTGTTATGTGCAGGGAGGAGCATTGTCCTCGGTTAAACCTGTCCCTAGAAATGCCCGGGACGACCTGGGATGAATTCGCCCAGCAAACCTCACAGGCTTCCCAGATTTCACGTCTCTCTGGTGCCTTAACGGAAAGACGGAGTTTCCAAACACAAAGCAAAATCTATTGACAGAGGCCCTGGGCCCAAACCAGCAGCCACCACACAGACTGTGGAGGAGGTGACAAGTCTCAGGGACACCCCACCACGAGGCCACATTTTTGGAATCTCTGAACACAAACTCTAATTTATAGCTGTCTGGATCATCCTCCCAGACAGAATCCACTCATCCAGTTCTGGCACAGATGTGTTGGAGGCATAATGGAAAATGAAAAGAGAGGTTGCAAATTTAGAGCCACTGGGCAATGGGGAAAAAATCTGCGCTTGCTCATCCACACCCCGAACCCCAAACCGCACACGGCTTTCCTCCTTGGGTCAAGGAAACTGTGGCTTAGCTGAATGTCATCACTGTGTGGCAGGGAATCCTCCCCGAATGCTGTGGGCTATGTTAGGGATGTGTGGGCGCGGAGCTGGCCAGGGCTTCTGTGGTGAGAAGCTGAATGGTCTCTGCTTCGGAAGGAGGCACAGCAGCAACCACGTCACTCTCTGGCCCTTCTGACTGCTCCAGCCCTGCCAGGCTCGGGAGAGGCACCGTTTGTTGCACTTGAGGTTGATGTGTTGCACACTAGAAATTGCTCAAGGGGGAAAAAGAATCACACAAGCTCCAGTCTAGTCAAGAACAAGGGAAGCAGGCTTCCTGTCAGTCACAAGGTTCTTGCTACTGTGTGCATTCCCTGTAGCTAGAAGATGCCCTCCTCAGCGCTCAGGGGACGCTTTCAAGCCTCCTCAGTCCCAAATTTTAACTCAGTAGGGCCCCACGCCTCCTATGCTATACTTCTTTTAATTCCGGCCCATTCTACTAAGGCCGAGGCAAGGAAGAAATGAGAGAACGCCCCTCTTATCACTCTCTTCTGCCCACACCTCTATTTCCATCAACTTCTTTTTTCTCCCTTGTACATTTAGTAACAATCAACCACAGTCCAATCCAGGCCAGGTACTGAGCTCCCTAGCAGAGACATGGAAGACACTCGCATAAAGTAAGAGATGCAATAAGACGCAGGAAGCGTGCTGAAGAGAAAGAACACACATCACTGAGGGAGGACACAGAGCATAACACGGGAGGCAGTAGTCATTCCCATTCTCATTTACACCTTGAAGGATGAGTCGGACTTCCTGGAAGAGTAAAGACCTCGTGGGATGAGAAAGCTCCATGCTATCCTGAGATGGGGGGCACACCGCCATCATCCTGGGAACCCCCCTGCAGAGCCCTGAGGGCCGGGACAGAGGAACTTAGCTCATCTTTTGGTGGGAGTGGATAGGAGCCTGAACGCTGCTTGACACCCAGACACAATGAGCAATCACAGATGAACATTCAGGTGACTGAGGATCATGGAGAGACGCCAAGGAGGGGCGCGGAGACCCAGGAAGGCCAGTGAGAATCATTGCGGCAGGGAAGGAAGACTGTTAGGACCTCTTTTCCCTCCAGGGAAGGGATTACTGCCAGTGAACCCAGCAAAACTCTAAAGAGTGCTGTTGCTTTTGCGGGAATGGACTTCTCTTTTGATATTGTTCATCCATTTTGGGTTGCATGTGTGTTGTGTGTGTTGGTGGCGGGGGGGGGGGGGAGTCATGCACCTGCCACAGCGAGTGTGTGGAGGTCAAAGGATAACTTGTGGAAGTCCTGCCACCGCGTGGGATTGGACTCAGATAATCAGACTTGCTGGCAAATGCCCTCCCCCGCTGAGCCGCCTTACTGGCTCCAGGAATGGATTTTCATACAACTGAGTGAGGGAGCTAAGCCTTGGTGGTAATTACTAAAAAATGAATGAATAAAACCGCTAAACCCAAAAGCCAACAACAAAAACCTTAGAGGAGCATCCGTGAGGATCTAGGCAGCAAGGATTCAGAGGAAAGGACAGATGAGCACTTCTGGAGTTTTCCAGGTCCCGCAGAGAAGCCACTGGTTGAGAATCTATTCAAGGCCAGCCTATCCCAGGACGGACGACTAGGTACACACTGAGAAGACCTGGTAGTCATTCTTTTCTTGTGGGCCAGCTGTATACATGGCATTCCAGAAATGCAGAGAGAAAGCTGGGTGTGATAATGTGTACCTGTAATTCCAGGATTTAGGAGGCTAAAGCGGGAGGATTACTGGGAGTTATGTAACCAGCCTGGGTTATGTAACTAAGTGCTAGCCAGCCCGGGATACATTGCAAATACTAGGCCAGCCTGGACTACAGGACAAATACTAGGCCAGCCTGGGCTACGTGGCAAAACCCTGTCCTAAAAACAGCAACAAAAAATTTAAAAGAGCCAGAGGTGATAGCATACAGCTTTGATTTCAGCACATGTGAGTCAGAGGCCAGTCTGGTCTACATGGTGAGTTCTGGACCTGCCAGAGGTGAGATTTTTATCTTAAATAGGAACAAAACCATCAAAAAGAAGGAAGAAAGAAAATGTTGTAAGACTCGGGAGGCTCGGGGAGCCAAGGGAGCCTACTGCACAAGCGTGCACAAAATAAAAGGGAGAAAATGGGGGCTAGAACACAGTGTAAAGGACAGACAGGGCCACAGAACCCACCGCTAAACAGGAGAACCACAGATCTTGTCATGGACAAGTTATTTCAACAGCTACCCCTGATCTAGAGAGCGTGCAGGACACAGGAAACTGCCAAGATGTCTTTAGAGAAGACAGTTTATGGACTAAAACTCAGCGACAAAAAGGATGGAAGACCAGGTTTAAACTATTTTGAAGCAAAGCAGATGAACAGAGAGTTTCTACCAGATAACAACTGTCTGCTAAATACAAGCCGCTCAGCTTGAGGCAGGGCCGCTCAATGGGGCTACTTGCATGGGGCCACTCGCACGGGGCCTCCCACTCACTCGCACGGGGCCTCCCACTCACTCGCTCGGGGCCACTGGCACACTCCGGTTCTATTTTCCTGCCCTTGGTTCCCCTTTCAGGCATTGCTGATGAAATGCCCCATCTTTCTTTCCTTTTTTTCTCAGTTATGAGTTGCGAAAAAGAGAGGTCCATCCAGCTGCAGGGA